TTGGCTAACTGAACATAATAATAAAAATAATAATAATAAATTTTAAAAGTCACTGGTGGGGATAAAGCTACTTCACATTCTTTGGTCAGGAAAGACATCTTTGAGGGAATATTTGAGTAATCTTGGAAGTCAAGAAAGATTATCAATGGAAGATGCAGGAAAAGGGCATTCTGTGAAGTTGCAACAGTAGTACAAAGACACCGTGGTAACTAGGTAATTATGTTAAACAAAGAAAAGAAGGATCATCTGGTTAGAAGAGGGTGAACATGAAATTGGACAGGTAGGCAAGGAGTAGATTACCTAAAACCTTGAAGATCATAGAAATAGGTTTTATTCTAAGTGACTGAATGAGAAATCATTGGATGGTTTCAGATAGTAGAATGACATAATCATATTTAGGTATATTAACCAGTGAATTTGTACTAATGCTCTTCATTCTTCTAAAAACCCTTAGATTATATAACTGCTATCACATTTTACAGTCTGTTTTTAGAAATAGTTGACCTAAAAATGAGATAATTCATAAAAAAATGCAAAATTCAAAATGCTGTCATGAAAGAGAAAGAGTGCACTTTACTGGTTGGCACAGGAAGTAATAGCGTTAGTAGAAACTTCTGGAAGAAGTGTTTTTGTTTTATTATCTATAGAAGACCTTCTAAGAGTCAGAGATCAGAGATTTTCAAAAATGGAAGAGGTCATTCATCAGAGGAATTAAAGTTGGAAGACTGGTTGCTAGATTGTGGCACATAGGATTCAAATGGTGATGGATGGTTGCAGAAGGGGAGGTTTTTAAAGTTGCTCTTGATGGAAAGATTTAGTCATTTTATATATATTCAAAATACTTTTGTATAAATCCATAATGCTGATAAAATCACAATCTTTCCTCAGGCAAAGATCCCGTGAAAAATGAGAATTTAAAGATTCTGAGCACCCTGTGATATCTGAGAGTCTTGAAATCTGTTTTTTGTTGTTATTCTTCTTCTTGTTTGTTTGTTTGTTTAAAAATTTCAACCTCCATGTGTGATGGGACCCAACAGGACTAGTGTATTGTAACCATTATTTCTAATTGGGATAAGACAGCATGGCCCTCAGAAATATGTGCATATCAATCCTTGGGACTGGGGAAAGGTATGTGTTAGCTAGAGAAAGTTTTAGAGGTAGTTCTGATAGACCTTTGTGTGGAGTCATATCTCATCGCTTCCAGTTAAGAATTGTTTCACTGGGCTCGGAGCCTTATGAAGGCATATATCCCCAATTTTAATGCAGTGCCTGGCATGTAGGAGACATGTAAGTCTCCTTAAATGTTAGGATTTTTGAATGAAATAATTAAAATAATTAAATTTTCATTCTAATTTTCTCAGATGTCAGTCATTTTATATAGGAGAAGATCATTAAAAATTATCACCCCCAAACCTCTTCTTACTCCAAAGCTGACCTATTTTCCTGTAAATGGGTCCATTACCTGGTATATGTACTCTCTGTACCGAGTTGGAATTTTATAAATATTCTACAGGAATCTCCATAGCACCAAACCATTGTTCTTATCCAGAGTTTTACAACCTATTTCTGAAACCCTGTCTATAGTTAGAAAAAAAAAAGTGTACTTACTATTTTCTTATAATGGCATGTTATCTTTGAAAAGTAGTCTCTTTTATTAGTAGCCAAGATTAATTCAATTTATTCCTCCCAAGCTGTATTTCATTTTTCATTTTTCTTATGAAAACAAAATTACAAACATAGGGTAGAATACAGTTACTTGTATCCCTTATCAGGGAACCCTTAAACAAACAAAAACCAATTTAAATCAACAAAAAAATTAAAACACTGATGCAGTGTTCCCATTCCTATTCTTGGCTTTCCTAAATACTCCTTAAAAAATGAGAAATCTCAGCAAGTCTGATTTCAGACATATTTTGGGTTCAAATTTTATGTAACCTGTAATTTTTAAGTAAACGTTTTTACCTACTAAAGCAAGATATAAATAGCTCTCTCATTCTATATATCCCCCATGTTGTTCCCTATATAATGAATTTATCTAACCTGAGGTACAATTTGCTAGAAGGTATAACTAAATGTTTGCTGAATGTGAAATTATATTTCTATCCAAGTGGTATAGGTAATGTGGCATATATGTCTTAAGTTAGCACTTAAAAATTCAACAGGGGCACCTGGGTGGCTCACTCAGTTCGGCGTCTGCCTTCTGCTCAGGTCATGATCTCAGGGTCCTGGGATCCAGCCCTGCATTGGGCTCCCTGCTCAGCAGGAGCTGAACTCTCTTTCTGCCCACCCCCCGCCCCGCTTTTGTGTATGTGCATGCATACTCTCTCTCTCTCTCTCTCAAATAAATAAATCTTTAAAAAAATTTCAACAAAGTATTTTACTGTAGGAAAGGGGTACACACAGAGTGGAAAAAATGCCAGGTTGAAAGTCAGAGTTCAAGCTTTGAATTCTGATTTTTCTCTTCAGTAGTAAAACAGCTTTGAGCAAATCATTTCACTTAACTAAGGGTCAGTTTTCTCATCTGTAAAATGACAATTTCTGATTCAAGAGAATTATTTTGAGGATGCTATGAGCTAATGCATGTGAGTCTTTTTTGTTTGCTTAAAATGTGAAGCAACATACAGTTTTTGATTTTTTTTTCCTCAATGACAAATCAGCAATCCTGTATATCTTTTTTTAGAACTTAGAATAATGTTTTCCTGTGTGTTTGATCCAGAGAGGACTTTGTAGACATTCAAGTTTATCTTTCCCTCTTTTAGCTTTTGAAAAAAATTTAGAAAAAAATTTTAGCTCTAAAAAAATTTAGAGCTCTGAAGCGACTTTACCAAGTTAAACAAGAACCATGAAAAAACTCTAACCAGAATTCAGATATTGAGATGAATTAGAAATGTCTGCAAAATACATTATTTTTATTCAATCCTTGTGTCTCAGAGCTAAGCATGTATGACAGAAATAGACTAACTGTAGGAAAGATGATCTTTATCAGACAGTAAATATATCATCAGCAACTTTTCTGAACCCATCATCAAAATCCTTATTTTTCTCATTTGTAAATGGCCGAGTTAGGCAGAGCACGTTTGCATGCACTGTTACTTTTTTATGCATTTCAGCCCAGTCCTTGCCCTGAGTTGTAAATATAGCTCATAAGAAAACCTTAATAAATAAATGTGGCAAATTTGCAAGCTTGCAGTCATTTAGATTTGGTTGACCCTTATATCAGTAAGAAACAAGATATTCATCATATATTCAACCAAGATTTCTTGAGCTCCTACGAGTTATAATAAAAATATCTAATATGCATTGTGCTTTCTGTGTGCCAGTTTTATGCACTTTATATGTAGCATCTCCTTCAAAGTTCACTTTCACTCCATAAAATAGGTGTTATTATCACCACCATTTTGCTAACGAAGAAATTGGGACCCAGAGACTTTAAGGATGTTGTCCGTTTTTACAAGCATTGGAGGAGGTAGAGCCCAAGATTAAAACTCTGGCCATTTGGCTCCAGAGTCTGCTCTTAACCACCTGGTTATGCTACTGGATGTTGAAAGCTCTGTGTTAGGGGCTGAGGATATAGCTGTGAGTGAAGCAGGCAGGATCTCTGCCTTCATCAAAATAGTGGTACAAAATGTAAGCAAGTGTGCAATGACTGTATAGCAGTAAGTTTCAAGGAGAGAGTAATTACAGTTGTCTAGTGTCATAATGGATGGCTTCAAGCAAGAGTTTGAGAAAGCTTTCCTAACAACTTATGACATTTTAAATCAGCGGAAGTTTAACTGAAAATGTGCTGACAGAAAAGTAACCACCATAGTTGGAAGAGAGAAGAGCATGGGTAACTAAGTTTCGTTGGCATGATAGGTTCATAGACATTGCTTTTTGTCAGGCAAACTTCTATCAAATGGAACAATTATTAGGTCTATGTCTTACATTGCAGTAAACTTAAGCTATTATTCTTTTAGCTAAAGCCAGAAGTAGAAGAAATCTGATTATAGTAGTTTTCACTGCAAGCCTAAAAAGTCTGTTTTTGTCCTGAAAGCAATAGGAAATCACAGCTAGTTGTGAGTAGATAGAACCAATTAAAGCAATATTTTAAAAATACAGCTTTCTCTGTGTGATATATATGAAGAAGAGAGGCAATGTGATCAGTCAAAAGCTATTGCAAAATTATGTGTGTGAAATAACAAAGACCGTCAGTAAAAATCAAGAGGAAAGATCAGATAAGAAAAGATAGTAGCTTCACTATTTTGCTGTGTAATTGTAGTATCTTAGAATCTAATAAAAGCATATTCTTACATGCAAGTATTTCAACAGATTCATGTTAAAATTTTAGAATCTTTTTCTGAACTAGTGTGTTAGTCTACTTGTTAAAAAAGTAGAAGTGAGAAAATAAATGTGTATGAAAGAGCTGAAGATGTGCATTTCCAGAAGTCACTCCCAGGCATGTTGGTGTTTTAAGAGTTAATATTACTAATTTTTAAAAATCGGCCCCTTCTTAATTCTTTCAACAATGTATTTGTGTCAATTTTCCAACAAATAAGAGAAAAAAATTTTTTCCTTCAATATATTTCAGTTCTAGAGTCAAGATGCCCCAAAAGTAAATCATATATTGAAGTGCAGTGTAACTTACAAAATAGTAGAATATAACTCACCTAGAAACTGAAATATACATTATTCCTAACTTACTAAGAACTACCACCAAAAAAATGTCAGAATGCTAATAATGCCTTTGATAGTTTTGATGCAGTAAGAGTTGTTATACATATATGAAATATGCCAGTTACCCAACTGGTAATCAAGCCGATGGAGATCCCATATGAAATTAATGATGTGATTAGTAACACCTTTAATCTAACAATTGCACTTTGTGGCTGAATATTATGTATGTGTGCACGTGTGTTTGTTTTAGTTAAAATATATCAAAAGAGAAAAATGAAGATGGAAATGTAGTGTTATCTTAATATAGCTAATATGTTATTTAATAAAACCAGTTCATTTCTACGCAGGTATGACATCAAGGATGATTACACATTGAGAATTAAAAAGGCCGTGAGTACAGATGAAGGCACCTACATGTGTATTGCCGAGAATCGGGTTGGAAAAGTAGAAGCCTCTGCTTCTCTCACAGTCCGAGGTAAGAGACTTAAGATGTGAAATACAATTGAATCAACAGACTAATATTTGGTTAAATTGGTAAGTGAACTCACAGTCAAAATAATAGCTTATACTCTTTTATTACTATTATTAAAATGCCTAGATTTTATGTCCATTCTGTCGTGAATTGAAATAAAATTACTTTCAAATTTGGGTTCAAAGGGATGATTATTTGAAGGAATTATTTTTTTTATTTAATAAATAATAGCTAAGATGGTTTAAAAGTAAATCTTAAGAATAGAAAAGATTTATACTAATCTTTTATGTACCCACTGTTTTGAAGCATTTACTGCTTTTTAAATGTCACAATTTTAAAGGTACTCTGTTTGCTGTTTAATAGTTTGCCAGTTTATACTAGGAGAGTACTAGTTTGAAATTCTTTTTTTATTTCAGCATCCAAAAGGCAATAAAAATAAATAAATAAATAAAACCAACACTGCTCCCCAAGTAAAAAATGGATACAAATGAGCTCCCGCAATGAGAAAATCTGATTTAGAGAATGATTTCTGAAGTTCACTGGCCTTAAATAATTGAAATAGTCAGTGTCGCTCCTGTAATGACTTTCACTTTCTGAGTGTCATGCACTTTTTCATTCATGGAATAATCTTCATTCATAGACTCCCTAGAATTGCTAATAAGTGAAAGAAAGCATTACTTAACCCTACAGTGAGGTAGAATGATTAACTGTCTTCCTGGTGTTGCATGTTGATCCACATGAGTAAGTTATATAGCCCCAGGTACCAAGTAGTACTGTGTGGACATCTACACTTATTCTTGCCAAATAGACATCACCCAAGGCATCATTTCCACTCACAGGACTTTGGACGGAGATAGGCGAGCACATCCTCTGCTCAGTCTTCCCACCTTTCTCCCACCACCTGAACTGATGCCTCCTCACGTCATCCTTTGTGATGTCAGCGGCACGCTTTCAGCCCAGTCTCAGTTATATCTCACCCTGTGTAATCATACCTCCTACCCTTGTGCAGCTTTACTCCCAGAAGTTTTCACAAGACTGGTGAAAAGGTTTGGAGGAATTTGCATTGGTGAGAAATGTGTCAGGGATTCTCATGTTGGTCCTCCATCGGGGCCATCATTTTCTCTGATCTATGACTTCAGCACCAAATCGTAAAACAAATAAACAAACAGAAAAACCCAAAAAACAAAAGCCTGTCTTTCTCCGGGTAACTCTTAGGAGACAACTTGGAAAATATTGATGATTTCCACACTTCTGAACCGCTCCACTTTTATTCCACCAAATCCATTTTTTTTCCCCATCCGGACATTCTAGCGTGAACTTAGATACAAAACAAATTTAGACAAAATCTTAATGCTGGTTGCTTAAAAACGTTTTTGTTCCTCATGAGTTAACAGATCATGAAAAGCTGTGATCATATACCAATCAAATATATAGACTGTATATTATCAAAATCCAATAGCCTTTGTCAGCCGCATTACATTTAATCTACATTCTCTGTAGGTGATTAT